GGGGCAGGCAGGACCGCCGTGGTGGGGGCGTGGGGAAAGGATGGAGCAACCTGTGATGACCACAGCCCTCTCCGCTTCCTCTGGCCAGGACCGCGTCCGGTGGAAGGCTTTGAGATCACGAACGTGACGGCCAGCACCATCATGGTGCAATGGGCTCTCCACCGGCTCAAGCACTCCACTGTCAGTAGGGTGCGTGTCTCCATCCGCCAGCTGGGGGACCTGGCAGACCGCACCGTGGAGCTGAACAGCAGCGTGGCCAAGTACACTTTTTTTTCCTTCCTGTGAGTGGGGCGGCAGGCGGGCACCAGGCCAGCTGGCCCTCCCAGGCTGCCCAGCTTACCCCTTCCCACCCTGCCTTCCTCTCCCACAGGGACCTGCAGCCAGGAGAGAGGTACATCGTCCACGTCACAACGCTGAGTGGCCTGGGGACAGAAGATCACCCCTCAGAGAGTCTGGCCACGGCCCCCTTTCACGTGTGGACGAGTGAGTGGGTTTGCCTTTGCTACCCCCCCCGCGGCTGCAGGGGCTTGGCAGGCACAGGGCGGCCACGGCTCGTGGCCAGCAGGAAAGCTGCAGGGAGGGGAAGGTGCGAAAGCCGTCAGCCTGTCTGGCCAGCACAGCGGGTAGGAGGGGTGCAGGCAGCCCTCGGGAAGGGCAGGCGAGGCAGCAGCACGTCCTCCCCTGCCAGATGTTGTTTGCTGCCCAAGACCAGCACGAGCTCAGCCCCATGCGGAGCCCACATGGGCCTGATTCATCCCCTGCTGTACGGCAGCTGGAGGGCGAGGGCCAGACGTGGGTGCCAGGATGCAGTGAGGCTCTGCCCATCTTGGCAGGGACCCAGCGCTGAGCATCTCCTCCCAGTTGTACGGCTGGAGCCAGGCTGAGGGCTGGACGGGGCACGACCAGGCAAGCTGGGGCCCTGGTGTGCTTATAAGGTGGCCTGTGAGCAAGTAGGGCAGTCCCCGTTCAAGGACACCAGCGCTGACCTCTTTTCTCCCCACCTCCTGCCTGCTCCAGGGCCTCTCCCCCCGCGAAACCTCACTGCCTCCCGCGTCACTGCCACCTCCGTGTCCATGGCGTGGGAGCAGCCGCCCGCTGGCACCGTGGAGGGGTACATCATCAATGTCACCACAGCTCAGAGTGTGAAGAGCCGCTACGTGCCCAACGGGAAGCTCGTGTCCTACACGGTGCGGGACTTGCTCCCCGGGCAACGGTACCGCCTGTCTGTGACAGCTGTGCAGAACACAGAGCAAGGCCAAGTGCACAGCGAGCCCATCCACCTCTATGTCACCACCTGTGAGTGCCTGGCTCGCCGGGGCTGGGGCGCTGCCAGTTTGCTGCAGCATGAGGGAGGTGATGGGCTGACGGGAAGCGCGGCAGGGGGTAGGAAACCGGTTGACCAACAGAGCAAAGAGCTCCTGAGGACTTGTTGCCCCAGAACCGGCTGTGGGGACAGCATGCAGGTCTCCTGCAAAGAGAGGTGGGGGTTGCAGGGTGCTACCTCCATTAGTGGAGGGCAGATGCAGAGTTACAGCTCAGTGATGCTTCACAGGGACTGGCACTCACAGCCCAAGTGCATGGAGAGCGTCCGTGTGTCCCCATGCAGCCCGAAATGGCAGCCTGGGGACTTGGGGACTGGCTGGGAGTTGCTGTGCTGACCTAACCCTTTGGCCTGCAGTGCAGAGGGATGGGGCTCCAGAGAGACGGTGGAGCCAAGCTGGACACCCCCGGGTCCTGCGCAACAGGCTGCCCCCCGCTTTCCTGCCTGAACTCCGCTTGCTAGCGGATCACGACACAGCTGAGGAGCCCTCGCCAGCCCCCAGGTAGGCACTGCTCCAGCACTCCTGGCTCTTCCACCAGCACTCAGTCCAAGCATTGGGCTGAGCACAGCCCCTTTTCCCAGCTCCTGTGTCTGGGTGCATACGGGGTGAAGCCATGCTCCTGCTGGGTTGTGCCTCTCGCCCATGCGCTGGGCAGGCCCTTGCCCTGCGAGCGGGTCCCCTGCACTGCCCGCATCTGAGCCCCCGGGACTCGCACCGAGCCTGATGCCACCAGCGAGTGCCTCCAGTCCTAGCACGTGGGGCGGCTGTGGCCTGGGGGACCTGCAGTGCCCCGTACCCTCATGGCTCTCCTGTCCCAGGTTCACTGAGCTGGTAGATGGCAGAGGGAGGATCAGCGCCAGGTTCGGCACTGCGCTGGGCAAATCCATCACTGTGAAGACACGTAAGTGCTCTGCTGCCTTTCTGTCCCCCTCGTGTCACCCAGTGCCATCTCCTACGCCTCCCCCCAGAACGGGGCGGTCAATCGGCAGGCTGCCGGAGGGCCTC